TTCCATCAGACTGTCCATGTTTTAATAGCGTCAACTTTGAATCTCATGATATCCATACTTCTTTTTGAAAAATAACATCAATTTACATTAATAATACTAATCGGCCGTAAAAATATAAAAGGGTGTATTTCTGGGGTTGAAATGTCCCGATGATGAATTCCGATGGATGAAATAGCCATAGGATGATATTGTTAAAGGTTGAGTTTATAAGGGTCAAATGACCGGGGGGTAAAATAACCAAGGTTGATTTTCGAGGTTCAAATGACCGGGGTTAAAATTCACAGGGTTGAATCGCTCGGCCACCTCTGATTTGACTGAAATAAATGATTTTAAAGTATTAAAGAAATATTTGTTCTATAAACAAATAATTATTTCATTAAAATAAATACACTGAAACCATAAGTATGTTTGTCACAAATAAATTAATTTAATTGTGTCAAATAAGTATTAATTGGATAAAAGTAAAGTTAGCCGACGTTTTTAATTTTTTGATTTTTTTTAATAATTAAATTAGAACAAAAAAATATTTTTAAAAAATTGCACTTGAAGTTTTTAAAGTTTTTTACAAATGAAATTTTTTTTTTATTTTTTTGTCATCATTTTTTTAATAAAAAAAAAATTCTAAAAATTTTTAGATGTCGACTAACTTAATTTTCATTTATTTGGTAGTATTTAAATAAGAGATTTCATTGTAATAAACGACTCTCATTTGGTTCAAATAAATTGTTCTCTCCGTGTAGGTTATGTAAAAATATTTTAGAAATTTTTTTTCTCTCTGGTTAATCCAAAGTCTCGGTTTAAAAGAGACAACCACCCGCATAAAATGAATTTTACGGACTATTGATCCAGTTGTCTCTAATAAACCCGCTTATTTGGAATTAATTATATCGCGGTTGAATCTAGACCACTATTAGACCACCGAAATCGGTTTCGTTAGCGCATATATACTCACCGCTAGAGATAACTTCAAACACATTGTACATTATATGTATATTTCGATCTATAACGGATTATATGTCACCTGTTGCGTTAGAGTGCTGTTTTATTAAACTGATCCGCCGGAGTTATTTCAAGAATTCTAACGCGTTACCACCGAGGTCATCGTTTATTGAAGCTGCTGATTTAAAATCACTGTGGAGATGCGGAAAATATAAGAAATGAGAAAATTTTTGTGGTGGAAAATAATCACAAGGTATTTTGGTGCTAAAGTTAGAATGTCGGCAGTGACCTTAAAAAATTGCCTGGAAAAGCGGAAAGTTTGTCGAGATGCTTTCTATTATAATGAAATTAATTATTTTTATTTTATTTATGAAGAAAATTTCATTTTTTTTTTTTTTAATAATGCAATTAAAAAAATTTTTTAATAGAAAAATAAAATTTTTAGTTAAATTCAATTTTTTATGCATAAAAAAAAATTATTTAAAGATTTTTTGTTGTAAACTAATCATTAAAAAATATTTTAAGTGGTGATAGTCAGCCATTTTGGATTAAAAAATTATTGTAACTCTGTAATATAATTTAATTACGCAAAAAAATGAATTTTTTTAGCTAAATTCACTTTTTTTAAACATGAAAAAAATTATTCAAAGTTTTTCTATTGTAAAATTATTATATAACAGCCTAAAAAATATTTCAAGTGATAGTAGTCAGCCATTTTGGATTAAAAAATAATTATAATTCTTTAATAAATTCTAATTATGCCAAAACTAAAAAAAAAGAATTTTTTTAGCTAAATTCACATTTTTTAAGCTTTAAAAAATTTATTCAAAGATTTTTTATTATAAAATGATTGTATAAAAACCTTAAGAACATTTCGAGTGATAGTAGTCAGCCATTTTGGATTAAAACTTATTATAATTCTATAATAGACTTAAATTATGCAAAAATTCAACAAAAAAAGAATTTTTAAACTAAATTCACTTTTTTTAAGCATAAAAAAAATTGTTCAACAATTTTTTATTGTAAAATTAACATATAACAATTCAAAAAACATTTCAAGTGATAATAGTCAGCCATTTTGGACACACAAAATTATTAAACCTCTATAATACACTTTAATTATACAATAATTTAGAAAAAAATGAATTTTTAAGTTAAATTCATTATTTTTAATCATGAAAAAAATTATTTAAATATTTTTTTTTATGGTAAAATTATTATATCAGAACCTAAAGAACATTTCAAGTGATAGTAGTCAGCCATTTTGGATTAAAAAATTATTATAGTTCAATAATAGACTTTAATTATGCAAAAATTTTACAAAAATGGATTTCTAAGCTAAATTCACTTTTGTTACACCTAAAAAAAGAAAATAAAATTGTTTTTCCCTGCAAATTATCAATTCTAATGTAAAAAAATATTGGAAGTGTGAGAAAATAGCAATCAGCTGACGCTAACAGTTTTAAATAAAAATCCGGTAGATGGCGCTCAGTTGTAAACAACATTTGTCTGATTCTGGGAGCGAAAGATATAAAGAAGGGTAATAAAAATGTAAATAACTTGATTAACCCCACGCAAAAGACGAGGATCGGAACCTCTGAATCCAGAGGTAAATGGCCCCATTTATTAAAGAATTTTTTACAGAATATCGATGTAATGATAAAATATTGTCAATTATCATTTTTTTACCTTCCTAAAGGTAATTTTATTAAATTTATGTTAAAAATATAATATATGGAAGCTTGGATAAAAAAAAGATTTTTAAATTAAATTAATCTGCGCGTCGAATATCTTGAAGAATTTATGATTCATTCGTCGTAGACAATAACAAAAGGTATTACGTATTTATGTTATAAATTAAAAAATTACCGGGTAGTTAATGAGAACTAATGGATAATTTGTAAGGTAGTAAATATATAATAATGGTAATAAATTATAAACGGCATTAATTTGTCGGAAAATTATTACATTGTTTGCATTAAGAAAAATCGATTTTTACCGCGTTATTTTTCAATGAATCGTAGCTTGAATAATTGCTAAATTAACTATAATTACCGCCTTATTTATTGAGAAGATATTTAAATATTTTAGTATAGAAAATTTTATTTAATAGTAATAAAATTTTATTACTATTTAATAAAACGTTTATTTGGCTAATAAAGGGGAAGGGGAAATAAACAAGTAGGTTAGGTTAGGATGTCTCGTTGAAACATCTTTATACTATTTATTTATTAAAAGATTTTACTGTGAAAATATATTTGAATATATTATAATTAATTGATGAATATTAATTTTTTTCTTGAAATTATTTGTTTTAATGACTTAATATTCGTATTAAAAACATATATTAGTATTTAAGAAAATTTTATTCATATGGAATATAATTTTATTACTATTAAATAAAATTTTCTCTCAGTGTATTCTAGAATATATTTCAGAATATATTCCAGAATATATACTAGAATATATACTTTTTCCGTGGGGGTAGTAAGTTGTAATTGCTGATAAGTTTAATCAGTAATGGTAGATCATGAGGGTAAGGGTGAGTAAAACAAAGCGTGAAAGTTTTATCAGTAGAAACACGAGAGGGCGGGCTAATAAAAATGACAAGGGTCGAATAGTTTGTCTTGTCGAAAAAAACAAGGTAATTTTGTTACTTTTTCAGCGGTAGGTGTTTGGGCTCTCGAAAAATGCTATCGACGTATATAATTTTATTTTTTTTCCTTTTACCTAAAGAATAATGATAGCCAGGGGAGAAAAATGGGTTTATTTATTCCAGTGTTTTTTTTTATACCTCGGGTGTAATTTAATACACTGAACTTGACAAGCCTTTTTTTAACATGTTCACTTTTTTTTATATTTTATTTTTAATATTAGTTTACGTTTTTTAACAATCGGACGGGCTGTAATTAAAGTGCAAATTGCTACACGTCAACAGCGAACCGAGTGAAAAGATTTGATATCAAATTTTCGGTACGCGTTTCAGTGTTTTTATTAAATTGGTGATGAAGGATATTGAAAAATATTATTTGTTTAGGTAAATGGAAATTGAAATTTAATATCACCTTTTTTATCTTCACTATTATTGTTATTATTTTTATCGTTATTCAAAAGAAATTTGAATTCAATGATTTCTATTTTTCTGACAATAGATATAAATCCTTTAGAATCCGATTAATCCGAACAATCTCTTGAGATAAGAGGGTGCGAATATATTTTTATTGAATATACTTTAACAGCTCGAAACTTTGAAATATTATATCGTTGATTTATACTTTCCTTAATTCAGTGAAAAATGAATTTTCAAGAAGCTAAAATTCATTTCTTTATACTTTCTAGTGTTTTTATCATTAATTTTTAATATAAAAAAAAATAAAATTTTTTTACTCATAAAAAGTCCGCCATTTTAAGTCTAAAAACTTTCAATACTTTTATCTTTATTTAAATTTGGTTAAAACTAACAAAAATAGTAATTTTAAGCTAAATTCACTTGTTTTCTTTATAAAAAAAATTATTTCCAATTTTTACGTTAGAAAATTCTTATGTAAGTGTTGAAAAAAGGTAGCAAGTGATAGAAAGTCGGCCATTTTAACTCTGAGAATTTGTAATACGCTTTATTCATTTAAAACTTACCTAATTTTTTACTCCCATAAATTCTTACGCTAAATTCAAATTTTTTCTACCTAAAAAATTAAGAATTTTCAATCTTTCATGATAATTTTTCTTTTAAAGAGCGTAAAAACATCGCAAGTGATAGCAAGTCGGCCATATTGGCTTGAAAAACTTTCAATACTTTTATCTTTATTTAAATTCAACTAAAACTTACTAAAATTGTAATTTTAGGCTAAATTCACTTGTTTTCTTTATAAAAAAAAATTATTTCCAATTTTTACGTTAGAAAATTCTTATGTAAATGTTGAAAAAAGGTAGCAAGTGGTAGAAAGTCGGCCATTTTAATGCTGAATAGAAGATTTTTATTCAATAAATCAATACTTTTTTTTAAGGCATAACATTTAAACGAATAATGATAAGAATCATTTATATTGTAGTTCTTTTAATTTTTAGTGAATATTAATATATATCATAACAACTAATAATTTCTCTTCTTTATACATAAGTTCCCAGGAAATTAGATATTTATTAGGTGTCATTTCATCTGGCATAAGTTCCATTGGTATTTCAATGTTTTCTTTTTTATAAATACCCTAGAGAAAATTCATACATTCAAACAAATGTTGGCGTAACTAAAAGAATAAATAGAGCTTACAGGAGGTGGAGGACAATCAAACTTTCTAAATCCAACCATTTGTAAAAGAGGACCCACTATAACAGGTTCATCTATCATTTCACATAAGCCCATTTGTTGTTCTATTCCAGTATGTATGACATATTCACCCAGTGATGCTCCAAGTAGTTCAAAACTTGACTAAAAATTATAATTACCTCGGTTATACCATCTGAACGTTCTAATAATTTACATAATTTAGAGAATAAGAAAAATTTTGTCTCCAGCGTATTTAAATAATAAAATAAGTTTTTAAAATTAAATTTAGTATTATTGGAAAAGTCTTGAATATGGTTAAAAAAACTGATTACTTGAGTTTCTATTGGTAATGATTTAACTATCGTGAAGTTAATAAACACTTGGTTATCAGCATTTACATAAACATCTGGCTCGATTAGATACTCTTTATTAAAAACTGGATAAACTATATCCTCTATAATGATTTCTAAGGCACCCTAAAAAATTAACAAAAAAAAAAAAATTATTATTAGAAGAGAGAAAATATATATTTTGTAATTTTATCTAGAGATTAAATATGAGTTTAAATTTCTTTGGAAAATGTTTATCTCTTTTGCGATAATTTTTACAAAAAAATTTGGTGACACGACAAAATCTTCCCGGACAAAATCTCCCCGACAAAATCTAATTTTAAATAATTTTAAATAATAATATTATTATTCCTGACAGTTGTGATGGTATTTTTCGTGTAAATATACACAAAAAATCATAATAAAAGGGTACAACGAGATTTTAAAGCGTATTTTGTCGGGGAGATTTCGTGGTACAACCAAAAATTTTGTTCACCGTAAAAAGGATAAAATTTGTGACTTTGATAATTTCTTGGATTTTGTCCCAGAAAATCAACAATACCATTTATTTGCTATACAAAAAAAATTATAAAAGTTTGTATGAGGGGCATTCCATAGCAACTGGTGGGACATTTGACTCAGGAATTCCATCGATTATACATAATTATGTGACTGAAATTCATACTATAGTAAAATTTATCTTATACAGAAGAATAACTAATTAAGATCCCTTTGTCAAAAACCTCCATTACTTTTTAAGTTTCTCGTAATTATCATTTGACTGAGTGTGACTGGTGGGACTAACAACAAATCCTTCTCTCTTACCAAAGGTATACTTAAAGTTCAATTTCAGTTCGACCACTAAACTAAAAAAAAATACTTCCCCCGAAAATACAAAATTTATCCTACAAACATTCAATATTATGAAGAATTAGACTGATTACCTACGTAGAAACAATTAAAAAAATTTGTTTTTATTGCGACTGGTGGGACAAGTACAAAATGTCTACATCAAGTTGTTTATTAAAAAGACTTCTATCTTATTTCAACCTTAGAAACATTATTGTTTATATATTTAACTATAAACTAGAATTTAATTTTCGCGCGCAAGCGCGCGCCTCATATTTATTATCATGGTATATTTATGTGTCGTTTATGTATATTATATTCACTTTCAACCAATCAGAATGAGAATATTTATTTTCGACCAATCACATCACGAATAAATTGGTTTCACATACATTTCATCTCAATTTTATTATGGGACTAGAACTAGAATTTTCGCGCGCAAGCGCGCGCGTCATATTTATTGTCATGATATATTTATGTGTCGTTTATGTATATTATATTCACTTTCAACCAATCAGTAATGAGAATATTTTATTTTCGACCAATCACATCACGAATAATTAGGTTTCACAATTAACAATTTACATCTCGAATTTATTATTTGTTTATATATTTAATTATAAATTATTTAGGATAATTAAAAAAAACTAATTAAAAAACACTAATAAAGGATTTAGCATGCTGACAACACGAGCTTGATAAACTTAGGTGTTAATTAATAACGAACATAAACAAAATTTGTTCTTAAAACTATAATAATAAATATGTTAGTTAATAACTAACATAAAATGAATTTGTTGTTAAAACTATTAATACAACATTTGACCCGGATACAAGTTAGTACGGCTGAAAAGTTACTAGGAGATAAAAATCGATTTTCTTATTGATTAAAAAAAATTTTCTTAACAAATTAGTAAAATATAAACTTTTAATAATAAATAAGAGTTAAATTAAAATTAATTAAAAAAATTTTGGTCATTTTCCCATTTCGCATGGAATGCCCCAATACCATTTATTTGCTATACAAAAAAAATAATAAAAATTTTTATGATACATTATCTCAATAATTAGAATTTTAAATACCTTAACGCCAAAAAATTGAACTGTAAAAACAATTAACAGACTTAAAATCATTTTTACGAGTACCAAGTTCTAATTAAAGGTGTACTCAGAAAATTTCTTTAAAAAATTATGATTATAAGATTCGGAAGTTACTTTATTACTACGGATAATGTCACTCTGTCAAGCAGTATAAATACGCTATGATCAGTAGATCCTCATCTCGAGGATATTATGCAATAAAAGTCTAACTGCTAATTAATATCGCATTTGATGTAATTAATAAAATTTTCAACAATGTGTATCATATCAGAAAACTTTATTATACCTTTATGATTTCCTGAATTTCAAAAATTACTATGTTGTTACCGTAGAATTTGAGATTTTGTCGGATAATTATAGTTTTCTCAATGTCGGCTTTTTGTTTGCTCCATCCATGTTACGGAGATTTTTATTATTGAGAATTTTTCCAATATAATTACAATTACTTGCTAAGAACTTAATATATAAATAAATATTTATTGAATGTTGAAAAATATTTATTAAAATTTAATAAATTAAACAATTCTCCTTAAGGAGGTCCTTTCGCCATCAATGTTAAATAAAAAATATTAGACCATGCATAAAATTAATTTTCATCTAATAGTTTGTTCCGACAGAAACTGTCAAATATAGAAGATGCGATCATTAAGTTCGACGGTGAAGTTATCGTAGCCGGAGACTTCAACGCTAAATCAGCTGAGTGGGGCGCTGCTTTCTCCGATACCAGAGGAAACGAGGTCGCTGACGTCGTGGCTAGACTCGACCTCATAGTGCTGAATACCGGGAGCACAACGACCTTTAGAATACCAGGGTACCAAGAATCCATCCTCGACATCTCATTGGCGACTCCAAGGACTGCCAACATGATTGAAGACTGGGCAGTATCCGAAGACTACAGTGGCAGTGATCACCAGATCGTGACATTCAGCGTTGGATTATCATTTGCTCCGGTTTCACAACGCGACGTTTCTAAGTGGAAGTGGAATGCCTAAAGGCTTGATCCAGAGGCATTGAAAGCTTCGCTTGTACGAAGCTGGTCTATTCTTCAGAACAACACGACTTCGGATACGTGCAGCGAGACGGAAAAGGCAGTGCTAGATACAATGAAGGAAATTGCCGCCGCATGTGATGCCTCTATGGCGCGGCTGAAAAATCAGAGATTCCACATGCCGGCGTACTGGTGGTCAGCAGACATAGGAGAACTTCGCAAAATATGCCATCAGCTACGTCGCCGAGCAACGAGAGCCGCGAAACGCTCCCCAAGCCAGGACGAGTATTCAAAAGAGTATAAGCAGGCCAAAAAGACGCTAAACCTAGCCATCAAAGCAAGTAAAGCGAAGTTGTGGAAAGAGATCTGCAATGATCTCGACAATGACCTCTGGGGTAAAGCCTACCAAATTGTCGCCAAACGACTTGGAAAGGCTTCACCAGAGGCGCCGAAGTCTCCTGTCATGATGGACAGCATTGTAGCGGAGCTTTTTCCCAAACATCTGCCGCGGGAAAAGAAACACTACACTAAGAACAGCGAAGTGACACCCTTCACAACTAAGGAACTACAAGACGCGGCCAAGTCACTCAAAACAGGAAAGGCACCTGGAGCTGATGGCATCCCGGCATCGGTGATTAAGATTGTAGCCCTGGAATACCCAGACATACTGCTGAACACCTACAATGCATGCTTGGCAACTGGCACGTTTCCCACGGTCTGGAAACGGCAGAGATTGGTTCTCTTAGACAAAGGTAAGGGAACCCCCATAACACCTTCGTCGTTTAGACCACTCTGTATGCTGGATATTGCTGGAAAACTGCTCGAGAAGCTCATACAAGGGAGACTTCGCAACGACATAGACCGTGCTGGAGGTTTTGCCGCAAACCAATATGGCTTCCGGAAAGGACGTTCAACAGTCAGCGCGATCCAGAAAGTCGTAGCGACAGCAAGAGAAGCATGGACTAGTAGCCTCGAAGCTCGCAAGGTGTGTCTTGTCCTCACGCTAGACATTGGAAATGCCTTTAACAGCGCAAATTGGAGAGATATTTTGGACGCCCTGGAGCACAGATTTGACGTGGAGCCGGAGAATCTGGTTCTAGTCGACAACTACCTTGACGAAAGAAAGCTAATAGCAGAAACCACGGAAGGCCCACAATAGATGCAGTAGATGTAGTAGTCGACCCACTCCTGGCAGACAATCAGTATGGATTCCGGAAAGGACGATCAACCCTGGATGCGATCAATCTGGTTGTTAGCACGGCTAAAGAAGCGATCGCAGGAACGAGATGGAAGGGTGGCGCAAAGAAGTATTGCCTGGTGGCGGCATTAGACATTAAAAACGCCTTAACTTCCGCCAACTGGAACTGCATCATGCAAGCTCTTCGAGAGAAAAACGTTCCAGAATACCTGTGTAGAATAGTAGCCAGCTATCTCACCGATAGAGTTCTTAAATACGACACGAAGAATGGTCCAAAAGAGTACGATATTACCGGAGGTGTACCCCAGGGCTCTGTACTTGGTCCACTGCTGTGGAATATCATGTACGATGGCCTATTGAGATTGAAATTGCTAAGAAGTGTAAAAAGTCCTTATAGACTTGCGTTCCATCGAAAGAAAAAGAGCAAATGACAACAACTAGAAAAAAGGTAAAATAATACCTTAGTTACCAGAAGGAAGAGCAGTCGCTATATCCTCCCCCCCCCTCCCCACGAAGTAATGCCTAACGGCGGTTTCCATGAGGGATTAGAGGAAAGAGGAAAGGGGTTTAGAGTTTAGTGGGTAGGGGCGTTAGCGTCGAGTTTCCAGGCCAAACAGCTACGCCTAGAATTCGTAAAAGGACCTCCCCCCCCCTAAGGGAAAAAAAAACACACACACACACACATACAGGCATAGTGACAACCTCTTGGGGATATAATAACTTCCCGATTTTTGAAAATCTTCAATTTTCTTAGCGGGAAGTTAAAAATTATTTCCAATTTTTACGTTAGGAAATTCTTATGTAAGTGATAAAAAAAGGTAGCAATTGTCAAAAAGTCGGCCATTTTAACTCTGAGAAGTTTTAATACGCTTTATTCATTTAGAACTTACCTAATTTTTTACTCCCATAAATTTTTACGTTAAATTCAAACTCTTTCTACCTGAAAAATTAAGAATTTTCAATCTATCATGATAATTTTTTTTTTTTTAAGAGCGTTAAAAAATCACAAGTGATAGCAAGTCGGCCATATTAGCTTGAAAAACTTTTAATATTTTTTACTTTATTTAAATTTGGTTGAAACTAACAAAAATTGTAATTTTAAGCTAAATTCACTTGTATTCTTTATAAAAAAAATTATTTCCAATTTTTACGTTGGAAAATTCTTATGTAAGTATCAAAAAAAGGTAGCAAGTGGTAAAAAGTCGGCCATTTTAATGCTGAATAGAAGATTATTATTCAATAAATCAATACATTTGTTTAAAGCATAACATTTAAACGAATAATGATAAGAATCGTTTGTATTGTAGTTCTTTTAATTTTTAGCGAACAACAATATATGTCAAAATAACAAATAATTTCTCCGTTTTATGTAGAAGTTCCCAGGTAAGTCGATATTTATTAGGTACAAGTCTATCTGGCAAATGGTCCATTGGGATTTCAATGTTTTCGTTTCCATAAACACCCTAAAAAAAATTAATAAATTAAAACAAATGTTGGTGCAATTAAAAAAATTAAATAGAGCTTACAGGAGATGGTGGACAATCGGTCTTGAAAAATCCAATCTTGTTTGCAACGGGACCGACTATAACAGGTTCTCTTATTACTTCACAGAAGTCCGTTATTACATCGACTCCAAAATCCATGACATATTCACCCAGTGTTGCTCCAGTTATTTGAAAATGGGACTAAAAATTATAATTACCTTGGTTACTATAATTACCAATTAATATTTATTAACATATATTATGATTAAAAAAATAGATTACTTGAGTTCCTACTGGAAATGTTTTAATTATCGAGAAGTTAACATATACATGGTTATCAGTAGTTACATAAAGGTCTGGCTCGGTTAAATACTCTTTACTGAAAACTGAACAAACTGCATCCTCCATAATAATGTCATGGGCACCCTAAAAAATTAACAAAAACATAAATTTATTATTATACAAAAAAATATATTTTGTAATTTTATCTAGAGATTAAATATGAGTTTAAATTTCTTTGGAAAATATTTATCTTCTTAGCGATAATTTTTACAAAAAAATTTTGCTCACCATAAAAAGAACAAAATTTTTGGCTTTGACAATTTCTTGGATTTTGTCCCAAAAAATCAACAATACCATTTATTTGCTATACAAAAAAAATTATAGAAGTTTGTATATGGGTTACACAGAAAAAAAATCTAATTTGATTCAAGAGAAAAATTCTTGAACCAAGAATATAATTTTGAAGAGGTTAATTGTCTTGAATCAAGACGAAAAATTCTTGAATTAAGTAAAATTTCCTTAAATCAAGGAACATTTTTTTAAATCAAGAATTTTTCTACTTAAACCAAAAATATTGAGCTTTTCAAAAATATATATTTGATTTAAGAACATTTTTAACTTCCCGCTAAGAAAATTGAAGATATTCCAAAATCGGAAAGTTATTGTTTTCACCCCGTTTTGCAAAAATCGAGTTTTCATCAGATCTCGACGTTTGAAGGTCACAGGAAGCTTCCCTGACTATTCCCGCGAGGTTGTCACTATGTCTGTATATATGTGTGTGTGACTATGTGACTCGCTTATAACTTTTGAACGACTAAACCGATTGGAACGAACTGAGCGGCGTTCTAAAGAGTTCCCTCAAACTTAGATTTCCTGAAAATTTCAACCGATTCGGACCGATAGATTTTGAGAAATTTTGAATAACCTCAAAAAAAAATAAGAAAAAAATCATTTTTGAAAGTGATTTTTTTGGAATATCTTTTAAACGGCTCGATCGATCAACTTCAAAAACTAATCCATTCTTAAGCTTGAAAAACCACGCCGATCGTCGCTAATCCGGTCAAAATCGGTTGATTCGTTCGAGAGATATCGTCAACGAAAGAAAACCCAAAAAAGTGTTTTTTTTTTGACATAACTTCGTCATTTCTTCTCGGATCGTTTTTGATGACATAGAATAATTTTAGAGCTTAAGAAACCGCGTCGGTCGCCGCTAAAAACGTGGAAATCGGTTGATTAATTCGAAAGATATCCTCGATAAAATATTTGGAAACAATTGTTTTTTTATCATAACTCCGACATTTTTTGGAATAACTTTGAAACGGCTGCACTGATCGATTCCAAAAACTAATCAACTATTAGCATGAAAAAATTACGTCGATCACCGTCAAGTCGGTCAAAATTGGTCAATTCGCTCAAGAAATATCATGAACGAAAGAAAACAAAAAAAAAGTGTTTTTTTGAAATTACTCCAAATTTCCTAGTTTTATCAATTCAAACTTGAAGATTTTTCATGAAACTAAAAAAATTGCGTCGAATACTGCCAACTGCGTGAAAATCGAGTGATTTATTTAAAAGTTAGTGCGGTTTGAAAATTAAAAAAATATTGTTCTATGATACTTCTATCAGACTTTTGAGCTTGAAGAGCTCAAAATAACACAGAAATTGTATTTTTAAGCTCAAAGAGCTCAAAAACGTCATTAGTGCAGTTTTATGCACCTAGGTATGAAATTAGCGGGAAGTTGCACGGATGGCCTTCAAGGTCTACCGTTTTTCTAATTTTTTTTCTGTGTATTCCATAATGACTGGTGGGACATTTGACTCTGGAAATCCATCAATTATTTATAATTATTTGACTGAAACTTATACTACAGTAAAATTTATCTCATACAGAAGAATAACTAATTAAGATCCCTTTGTCAAAAACCTCGATTAGTTTTTAGTTGTTTATTAAAAAAATTTATGTTATATTATTTCAAAAAAATTTTTTTTATGCCCCAATACCATTTATTTGCTATACAAAAAAAATTATAGAAGTTTTTATGATACATGATTTCAATAATTAATATTATAAATACCTTAACGCCAAAAGATTGAACTGCCAAAACAATTAACAGACTTAAAATCATTTTTACAAGTATCTAAGTTCTAATTAAAGGTGTACTCAGAAAATTTTTTTCTAAAAATTATAATTATAAGATTCGGAGTTACTTTATTATTATGGATAATGTGACTCTATCAAGCAGTATAAATATGCTAGGATCAGTAGATACTCATCTCGAGGATATTATGAAAAACAGTCTAACTAATAATTAACATATCGCTTTTGATGAGATTAATAAAATTTTCAACAATGAATATCATATCAGAAAACTTTATTATACTTTTGACTTCCTGAATTTCAAAAACTACTATATTGTTTCCGTAGAATTTGAGATTGTGTTGGATAATGATAGTTATCTCAATGTCGGCTTTTTGTTTGCTCCATTCGTGTTACGGAGATTTTTATTATTGAAAATTATTCCTATATAATTATAATTACTTGATAAGAACTTGATATCTAAATAAATATATTTATTAAAGTTTAATAAATTAAATAATTCTTTTTAAATAAATTAAATTATTAATAATTAATAAATTCTTTTATCAACGCAATTATTGAAAATCAAGTTTTCATCAGATCTCGAAGTTTTCGATTAATGGGGCATTTTATGTGAAAAAGGAAAATGACTAAAACTTAAAAATTTCTCTACACGGAAAGAAAAATATGGGAACTATTCCCATAATTTTATGGGAACAGTTCCTAGGCAATTATAGGAACTGTTCCCATAATAATTATAGGAACTGTTCCCATAATAATGATGGGAATGGTACCCATAATTATAGGAACCATTCCCATGATATTATGGGAAATATTCCCATAATGATATAGTAATGGTTCCTATATCGCGTGCTTAAAGGTAAAAGGACTTATAGCTAAGGGTTAATAGGGATTTATGCCGAAAGGGCGTATAAAAAAATTTTTTTCTGCCATTCGGTTTGAAATTATCTGAAACGTAAAAATCTGTGATAAAAAAAAATTGGTATCCTAAAGCTGAAAGGGCGTATCTTAAGACATACGCCCTTTCACCTTTAAGAAAAATACTACTTAAAGGTAAAAGGGCGCATAAAAAAAATTGTATTTTTTATACCAAATGTTAAGTAATAGTTTCACAAGACAATTTATACTCAAACAATAGCCTCACATACAAAGTTGGATATATACATCAAAGACAAATTACGTAAAAATTAAGTAATAAAAAAAAATCAAAATGACAGATAACATTGAAATATTTAAAAATTTCCCATTTTAATCGCCCTATTGAATATAATTTAGTAATTACTGGTGCCGTTCACAGAACAGCTGTTTCATCATGATCAAGCATCCAGAATCCAAATTTTATAATAACTATTTCTTAAAATGAATAATTCGACGTTTATAACATTGACATTTTGATCATTTTTAGTTATTCCTTCAAAGTTAAGATTGCAATTGAACTATTTTCAGGCAATGTGTAGTACAACCGACTTATGTACGTTATTGTTTAATCAAGAATATCATTCAGTGAAATCTACCTTCCATTTCGGGTTTGGCCGAATGCCGTTTTTTCGATATATTTTCTTTTTAAACTTTAAAAAATTGTATAGTTGAGTTTTTATGCCGCTACTACCACAGAAAGTTTTTTTTTTCATCTTTTTAAACTACGAATATGTTCTTTTGTCAACTGGCCAAAAAAAAAGTTATACGCCCTTTCACCTTTAGATCACTAAAATTTTGAATTCTTAAAAGTAAAAGGCCGTATAATTGAAGACATACGCCCTTTTACCTTTCTGATTTTTTTTTTTAATTTTAAGCGTAGAATGTGTCTACTACTCGATTGGCATTAAAAAAAAAAAAATATGCGCCCTTTTACCTTTGCAAAGGTAAAAGGGCGCATAAATTGTTATAAGTCCTTTTACCTCTAAGCATGTGATATGTTGTGGGAACCATCCCTATACTGTTATGGGAATGGTTCCCATAAATTATGGAAACTATTCCTATAATAGTATAGGAATGATTCCTATAGCATTATGGGAACCATTTCCATAATGGTATAGGAATAGTTCCCATAATTTTTTTTCCGTGTAAATACGAGGCTTGAAAAGAAGAAAAATCTCAAGAATGCATGTTAGCATCTAAGAACTTCGATCCATTCATAACTTAGAAATATTATCACGTGTCAGGAGTCGGGGGAGTATACATATATGTGGCATCGATAAATGACGATTGAAAGATTGTAAAAAAAAAAGCGCAACACCCTCTTGACCTAGTAATTATTCAGTTCTACATAAAACGCTCGAGAGTAGACACTTAAACTTTATTAACATATCGCAAAAATAAAAATAATTTACATATAAATTACATCATTTTTTATATCTCCAAGGTAGCAATCGTAAAAATAAAAAAAGTTAAAAATTAATTAGTTTTTATTGCACTGACATAAACTTTACGAGTAATTAAAATTTACGCATAAATTAGGGGGTGAATTTAAAGAAAAACATTTCTGTACTTAATTTATTATAAAATTCCCCGTGAAACGAGTTCGCGGTGATAGATTGCGACAACTAGGTCATTGTTTAATTTATGGTGATTAATTATTTATGAAGCTCGGTTTTAGTGAACTTGTTAGATTATATTGATGTGGGTACGTTATATATTTCCACGTAGAATTATTATCTATTTATTATATTTCTCCCTTTGTTTCTTCGACCGAAAAAAAAATTAGACATATTTTATTGAGGAAGATTATGTCTTTTTGTATTTCATATAAAATAAAATATAACAATATATTAATAAGCTATCAGTCATTAATTATTTACGTCAAGGAGTCTGGAAATTCTTGGGGAGAATTTCTCGAGCAATAAATCATATTATCCTGTCATTAATATTAAATTTCGTATGACATTTGCGTCAATAAGTAAGTACAGAATTATTTTTTACCGGAATAATTTGTAAGTTATTAAAGTCAGGCAAGCGCGACTTTAATAATATTTGTTAATTTAACACTGTAAGATAACATTTTAAATGCAATGTTTATTTAGGACGCTTACATATTTAATTTGCCGTTGTTAGCTCTAGTTTAATCTTGCAGGCATTAATTTTGCAACAATCTAAAACTTCAATTATTAATCTTCCTTTCGGGGTTTACATTTGTGGATTGAATTGTAAAATTAATGAGTTAAGGTGTTGAATAAAATGAAAGTTAATTATTAATCGATTTATTTTGTTTAGTATTTACATCAATCGAAAAATCAACTCAATAAAATAATGGTAATTTGTTTAAAATTAAACTTTAAAATGCACGTGTCTGATATACATATATAAATTGATAAAGAAGAAAGTAAAGAATAAAAAGTGGTGATTGACTAGTGCACTTGATAATTCTCTATCGGTACAATCCTTTGAGATTACTTCCTTTGAGATTATTGTTTTCTTCAGTGTTTAACAATACTCTAAATATAAATAATAAACCTAATTAAAATGGTAATTTTTTTGTTAAAAAAGTCGCGCTTGCGCAGACTAGTACAAAGATTGTGTTTCTTCACTGAATTTTTACCAGGGAACAAATGTTAACCAATAAAAAAAGAGATTGTGTTAAAAATTTTAAAAAATAATAACTGACATTTCAGCGAAATTATTTTGTCGAACAAAAATTTTGTGAATAAAAAAAGAGACATTTAATTATTTTAACTAGAGTATCTGGTGTGATATTAGATTAAGTATTTGTAATAAATGCCGAAATGTCTTTGAAATAATAACATGTAATACTATTGATTGCATACTCGGTAATAATTCGAGCTAGACGTTTTAAATTAACATCACGTCCATTATTTTAGTCAAGGTACTTAATAATAATAATAATTAATAATTATTATTAACAAGTTATTTACAATTTGTTAATTATTTACAATTAATTAATCTTTGACTGATTTTGTAATCAATTATTATTAAATAATTAGGATTATAGTTGAAGGAGTTGGAACTAGAAAGGTGTAGAGTAGAAAAAAGAAAGGAAAGTTTCTTCAGTCACTTACACCCTTTTAGTTCCGACTCCTTCAAGCGTATTATTAGAATACTGATTCTGCGGAACGTGACATCTGAATAGGATGTGAGGGACTACGCGCTAATCTTTTTTTCGGCAGCTTTTCAAGCGTTGACAGTAGCTTCGCAAAATCCGGACGCTTATCCGCATGATATGACCAGCAGTGCATTAATATATCCTGTAACAATTCATCATTATTATTATATTCAACAATTTTATTATAAACGACTTAACAACCCAAGCGACTCTGAATTTACGAAAAATTAAATGTCACATCGAATTATATTTAACAATATAATCATTATAAATTTAACATGAAGATAAATTTGGCTCACAATAGGTTGTCCTTTATTACTTACAACAAACGCTGATAACAGTTTGCACAATTCAGATGTTTATCAACGTGACATAACCAACTGCGCATTAATAATAATTTATTATTTTCCGCAGAATATTCTAGCAGCCCGCTCTGCAAAATAAAATGAAATACAAATAAATATATATTAATTTTAACTAGCAACCTTGCGGTCTTTGCTATATTAGATAGTGACTTTTGTTAAATTGCACTGTATTTTTTTAACTAAGGTAAAATACCCAGTACTTGAACACTTCTAAAAATGGGACCAGTAGTTGAACAGACTTTTAGAATTGCTGTAATATAAAATCTGTATATATAATTATGAATCATATGCGCATGTTATAATTATTCAATGATATAGTAATTGATTTTGGTAAGTTTTTTCAATTATAAATCAATAACAATTACATTTTTGTTAACTTTAAAGTTGACATGTCGAGAATCGCCGATAGATGCTATTTTTTTCATGAAAAAGGTACTAAACCGTAAACCGAACAATCAGTAAAAAAAAAACAGTATATCATTATTTTAAGTAAAAAAAATTGTACCACCCTATGAAATAGTCTTTTCTGCATAATATATATTTTTTGCAAAGACATAAACTATAATTTTTATATTAAATTTTAGCGTTCAACTATACCTCCTAATTTTCAAAGCGGTACCCATAACCTGAACAAGCTGGGGCCGTATAATTTTAACAGCACTCTAACCTTTAATAGGTTTATAGACTAAGTGATCAGTATTGTGATTTGTATTAATTACTGCAAATTAAATAAGTTTTATAACTAAAAATTAGTATAGTTAAAAATTATTGAACGTTTTGAATTGAGTTTTTTTTATTTATAATTGTCAAATACGTTTTACTTTAAAACCTGTTCAACTACTGGGTACTTTACCTTATTGTCGTTTTTAAAGTTATCACAAGCTCATCCCGATATTACACTCATCAGGAGCTTTCATTTGAGTACCCACATGCATTTTTGATATATTTTTCATATATACATATATATAACATATAAATATATGAAAAATTAATGTGGGTACTCAAATGAAAAGTCTCGATGAGTGTAATGACAAAATGAGCTTATATCTTTAAAAATGTCAATAGTTTACAAGATGCAATGTAATTTCTTAATTATTGACATTTTTTAAGATATAAACTTATTTCGATGTTTATATTCTATATTTAAAAAAAAGTACTAAAATAAAAGAAGTAACCCCAGAAATTCCAATAATTCGCAATAAAAACTCTCTTGATAAATCGATTAGCATGAATAATCACTGAAGCTGAAGAAAATTGATATTCTATTATCCCCCACAGTACAAATTTAAGGAAGCAACACCGGCATTAAATAACCCGGAATAAAAATCTATATCAGCTATTATGTATATATTTCTCACTCAAAAGTTCATCTTGCACTGCAACAAGATACTTTTTCTTCCGGCTGATCTCTTCTTACATTCACTTGATTTAATAAAAATATATATACCCTCTTTTTATTTATAGATATATTACCTATAGAAGATAATTGAAAAACCGCGACGGCAAATGATGAAGAGCCGGCATCAATTCCGCAGAAGATTCAGTCTTCAGCCATCCTCGTCTCTTAAAGAAGAAAAAGAAGACGGACCAACTCGAAGTATCAGGTAATTCATTTTTTACCTCACCTCACACTTTTCCATTTCTTCTCTCTTTTTATTTTTTACTATTCTTCTTCAATCCGTCTTTCATTAAATTTTCCTCACTCGCTTTTTTTTTTTTATTCTTTACACTATTTCTTTTCACACGAGGTGAATCTCCGGCTCATGGATCTATCTATCAATCCGAAGTGTTCGTACAATACAATAGATAAAAGTAGAGATCTTAAAGGGATTAAAGATTTAAGTGGATAAAATCCGACTGTGGTTGTCACCACTGATGTCTCTTGTTACGTGTCAAAGGATCTGGATGATGAGGTGATAGTATTAAGGCTGGTGTTGGACGTAAAAGGCTGGAATAGTAAAAATAAAACCCGAGAAAATATAAAAACTAGTGTAACAAGTAACAAGCCTTGATTGCCATCATTACCGACGGATCTTTTGGGGGTTGAGAAAACCCGGGGATTACCCGGCTTGAGAAACCGCAGAGACCTTTTCTAGAAAAAAAAAAAAAAAAAAATAACAAGAGGTTTAGTGACACTCACAAGCCAGCTTAGGGTTTAATTAAATTATTTAGAGTAAATAAGCTAATTTTAGTAGAGTTACTGGGTGTGTAAACACGATAACTTTTGAAAAACACCATTATTTACCCGGATTTTTGTTTCTCTTGTCAATATCTTGTTAATTATTGACATTTTTAAAGATATAAGCTCATCTTGATGTTACACTCATCGAGACCTTTCATTTGAGTAGCCACATCAATTTTTCATATATTTTATATATTTATATATATTATATATATGTATATACGAAAAATATATCAAAAATGCATGTAAGTACTCAAATGAAAGCTCTTGATAAGTGTAACATCGGGATGAGCTTATATCTTTACACATGTCAATAGCAAAAAAAGTACAGTGGAATTTAACTCCAATGTAACTACTAATAAATATTTGTTATTTGCTAAATAAATTAAAATTTTTATATGAATTAACTGTTTAAAATGAGTCACTAGATAAATGACAAGAGTTACTGGGGGTGTAAACACGATAACTTTTGAAAAACACCATTATTTACCCGGATTTTTGTTTCTATCTCTTTGTATGATCACTACGGAGAGACCTATTGAAAATCTTGCCTCAATATTGTTTCGTTTAATTATAATTAATATATTTCGAACTTTAGTTAGACCGAATTATCTACCCGTCGATCAGCCTTACAGTTTAAATTTATTTGAGGAGTAAATACAGCCGAGCTTATTACACTTGTACTATTTTACTCTGGACTATTGTTCGAAATCACCAGAAGGTGGCGCGGTAGTATACTTCTACCAGGATGTAGAGTTTCTCTGAAGAAAAGGCAGGCTATTAAAAAAACAAACTTTTTAAAATACTTATTTTAAAAATACTATTTATTGTGTACTTTAACACTTATTAATTTATATTACGTTAATAAATTTAATTTTCACTCTCGATATTTTATTTTAATTCTTAAATATTTATACAAACTCGAGATACTTTTTTTTTCTATGCTTCATTGTAATGTGAGGTCTAATTAAGCTCGCTTTTTTTTTATTTTACTTTAACCAGAAAATTATGGAAAAATATACAACTAACCAGAGCTTTTCAATCAAATGTATAGCTTTTAGTTTTTTAAATTTTTTACTGCGTAAGAAGGACAGGGTTCGATTCCCGGCGCCGGTAAATAAAATCCATTTATTATTAATTCCTGTTTCTAAATAGTCAAAAACTTTTATTGCATCGATACTAACTCCTGGTGTTTATAAAACTCCCTCGTAAATTTTACAAAAAATAATTACAATAAAAACAAACTTTTTATTGCCAATGCGTAATATCTTTACACACTATTCTCTAAAATTATCTAACAAGTTACGCAACTTTTTAACTCTACTAAAAGAAAATTTGAAATTATTTGAATTTAATATTATTTTTCCCAACAAGGGTTAGTTTTATATTTTAATTTTGTATAGAATTTTTTTCTGTCTGGTTATTCGATCAGAATTATGAAGACCTTGATGTACAAAGTTGTTAAACTTCTGAGTGGAGAGTTAGGGAATTGTCAAGTTACATTTACGTATAAAAGTTTCAGCCTAGCTTTTAAGATAAAACCATGAAAATTTAAAAGTTTCTTTTTAATTTTACTACTTTTTAAAGATCGTTATATTAAATTACTTAAAGAATATGTTTTTGTCCCGAAAAATAATAAAAACTTTACCTACTACAAAGAAAATAATGAAAACATGATAGATAGTTTGAAAGTATGTCGATATTTTATAAAAAAACTTGATTAACCAGCTCAATTTTTTTTTATCAGCTTGGCAGTGATAAAAAGGACTAATCTAAAAAAAAAATGATCAAAAAGATCTTTTTGTTTCATTGTAATCAGTGTTTTAGCGTTAAAACCGGCAAAAACAGCTGATGCGATATCTAGCCGCCATTTTTGCGAGTCAATAACAAGTTTAAAAAAAAGCGCGAGATTTAAAAATTTTTTTTCTTATAAATTTTTCAGTGTTGACAATAACGAGTTTATATTGTTGTTTTTAACAATAAAAAGTTATTGTTAGTACGAACAAAAACTCTCCATTTGTTTTCATTATGTCATATTGTAAATTACCTATTGAATAAAATGAGTTCATTTTTCTGGAATCGTTCCAAGTTTCTAGCGGAATGATTTAATGAGTATAGTAATAAATTGTGAATTTGCTATTTTTAGTAACAGTACTTGACTTTTTTATTTTTTTAGTTTGTTGAACTCTATTTATTATGTAAAACATTTTCAATAATGTAATTTTTGTTTTTTAAATATGAATTATTAAAATTTCTCTTGTAATAAATTGCAATTTATTTTTTTAAAATTAATTAAAATTTCAATATGCAAATATTCATTTAATTAATTAATTTTTTAATAAACATTTTACAAAAACAATTATTGAAATTGTTACTAATTATTTCAACCATTCAGCTAGATTAATTACCGAATAATTGATATACTCATTAAATTGAAATCCTTCATCCAAATAATTAAACGTATTTTTTGTTTCATAACCTCCAATTACTTCAAAGCGTAGTTAATTCTCTCGTTAACAAATAATTCTCTGATTTTGATGCATCTCAATTATTAATCACTCATCCGTGAAATTTCAATTTGCTTTTATAAATTACAATCAAAAAGTTATTTTTAAAATATACAATAATATTTATTATCATTTTACCGGCTTTGTAGATGCATATATACTCCATTACAACCCACATATGCGGCCATTTTGTTCTCAATAGTTTATGCAGCCATTATATAAGTGTTCGACAGTGCCATTAATTTTTTTAAAAATTTTTTACAATTTAACAATTATAAAAAGCAAATTCCATGCATCAAAATTGAAAATTTTAATAAATATTCTTACTATAAAAATTATTGTCACTAAAGATAAGAATTTGTTTTAAAAAACTCCCGCTAGGAGCAAAAAAAAATAATAAAATATATTTTTATCCTCGTGTTTGATTAATAAGAAGCTAAAATCTATTTTTTTTATTCTTTCGAGTGTTTTTATCATTAATTTTTAATATAAAAAAAAATAAAATTTTGTAACTTATAAAAAGTCCGCCATTTTGGCTCTAAAAACTTTCAATACTTTTATCTTTATTTAAATTCAACTAAAACTTACTAAAATTGTAATTTTAAGCTAAATTCACTTGTATTCTTTATAAAAAAAAATTATTTCCAATTTTTACGTTAGAAAATTCTTATGTAAGTGTTAAAAAAAGGTAGCAAGTGGTAGAAAGTCGGCCATTTTAACTCTGAGAATTTTTAATACGCTTTATTCATTCAAAACTTATCTAATTTTTTACTCCCATAAATTCTTACGCTAAATTCACATTTTTTCTACCTGAAAAACTAAGAATTTTCAATCTTTCATGATAATTTTTCTTTTAAAGAGCGTAAAAATATCGCAAGTGATAGCAAGTCGGTCATATTGGCTTGAAAAACTTTCAATATTTTTTACATTATTTAAATATGCTTAAAACTAACAAAAATTGTAATTTTAAGCTAAACTCACTTGTATTCTTTATAAAAAAAATTATTTCCAATTCTTACATTCTAAATTTTTAATGTAAAGGTTAAAGAAAAGTAGCAAGTGGTTCGAAGTCGGCCATTTTGAATCAGGGAACTTGTAACGCGCTATACTAAGTTTAAAATCAATTAAATTCTTTATTCTAAATAGAATATTTTTTCGATTAATCCTAAAAATTTTCTCATTTAAAATAAATAAAAAAAATCATTATTTATCAGATAAATAAATTAAAAACTTACCAACTGCAAACAAATTTAATTTTGTTTTTTTAATTGAAAAAATAAAAAAAAAATTTAAATTTAAAAATTACTAGACTAATAAAATGAATTAGTTTTACAATTGCTAAAGTTTAAATTGATCAAAGCAGCATTAGCACTAGTGTACTTGTATAGTTGTATACTTGTAGAAGGTAACGACAAGTTGAATCATTTGTTGAACAGCGAGCAGTGAGTACAGAGCACTCTATACACTAGATTGTGAATTATTAAAGTTTACTGGAGAACATACAGCTGGAAGTAAAGCTTTGATTTAATTACGACCGCCGGTGTGCGTAATGCGCTCCGACGGTCGTTTTCTTAAACTAATTAAAGCAAATTGAGCTAGTCATTTTGTCTCTTTGTTCTTTTCTTCTTACTATAATAATAATAATAATAATTATTATTATTATTTATTTCTTCTTCATCAAATTCTTGAGAAGAAAATTTTTGAGAATAATTATGCGTTTGTTTTCAGAAATGAAAGACTGGTGGAGTCAGAAACAGACGAAAAATCATCAGAAGCACCAGCTCGGCACAAAATTGTAGTAATGGGAGCAGCTAAAGTCGGGAAATCAGCAATAATAAATCAATTTCTGTACAACACATTCTCACCAAAGTACAAACGCACTGTCGAAGAGATGCACCGTGGGGATTTTAATGTCTCGGGAATCCAATTAACTCTTGACATACTTGATACTTCGGGTTCCTATGATTTTCCGGCGATGAGGGAATTGTCAATAAGGTCTGCGGATGCCTTTGTCCTCGTCTACGATGTCAACGACGCCAGTACATTTGCTGAAGTTGAAGCACTCAGGTCCCAGATACTTGCCAGTAAAGGAACTGTGCCCATTGTTGTTGTTGGGAATAAAGTCGATTTGGTTATGGAAAACGACAACGAAACTGATTGTGACTCAGAGGTAGTTATCAATAATCTATATTACTTCTATCTTCTGAACTGTTGACATTTTTAAAGATATAAGCTCATCCTGATGTTACACTCATCGAGAACTTTCATTTGAGTAGCCACATCAATTTTTCATATATTTTATATATTTATATATTTCACAAATACCATATATATATAAAATATATGAAAAACGCCATGTGGATACTTAAATGAAAGGTTTTGATGAGTGTAACATTAAGATGAGTTTATATCTTAAAAAATGTCAATAATTAAGAAATTACCTTGTATTTTGTGAGCTATTGACATTTTTAAAGATATAAGCTCATCCCGATGTTACACACATCAAGACCTTTCATTTGAGTAGCCACATCAATTTTTCATATATTTTATATATATTATATATATGTATATATGAAAAATATATCAAAAATGCATGTGGGTACTCAAATGAAAGCTCTTGATAAGTGTAACATCGGGATGAGCTTATATCTTTATAAATGTCAATAGCAAAAAAAGTACAGTGCAATTTAACTGCAAGGTAATTAATAATAAGTATTTGTTATTGGCTAAATAAATTAGAATTTTTATATGAAATAACTATTTAAAATGAGTCACTAAATAAATGACAAGAGTTACTGGGGGTGTAAATACGTTAACTTCTGATAAACACCATTTTTCACCCGGATTTGTGTTTCTATCTCTTCGTATGATCACTACGGAGAGATCTATTGAAAATCTTGCCTCAATATTGTTTCGTTTAATTATAATTAATATATTTCGAACTTTAGTTAGACCGAATTATCTACCCGTCGATCAGCCTTACAGTTTAAATTTATTTGAGGAGTAAATACAGCCGAGCTTATTACACTTGTACTATTTTACTCTGGACTATTGTTCGAAATCACCAGAAGGTGGCGCGGTAGTATACTTCTACCAGGATGTAGAGTTTCTCTGAAGAAAAGGCAGGCTATTAAAAAAACAAACTTTTTAAAATACTTATTTTAAAAATACTATTTATTGTGTACTTTAACACTTATTAATTTATATTACGTTAATAAATTTAATTTTCACTCTCGATATTTTATTTTAATTCTTGAATATTTATACAAACTCGAGATACTTTTTTTTCTATGCTTAATTGTAATGTAAGGTCTAATTAAGCTCGCTTTTTTTTAATTTTACTTTAACCAGAAAATTATGGAAAAATATACAACTAACCAGAGCTTTTCAATCAAATGTTGTGTGGCTTTTAGTTTTTTAATTTTTTTACTGCGTAACAAGGACAGGGTTCGATTCCCGGCGCCGGTAAATAAAATCCATTTATTATTTATTCCTGTTTTTAAATAGTCAAAAACTTTTATTGCATCGATACTAACTCTCAGTGTTTATAAAACTCCCTCGTAACTCTTACAAAAAATAATTACAATAAAAACAAACTTTTTATTGCCAATGCGTAATATCTTTACACACCAATTCTCTAAAATTATCTAACAAGTTACGCAACTTTTTAACTGTACTACAGTTAAAAAATATTTTTTCTAAATATTTAAGTGACCCAATTAAATAAATTATGTCGATTCTTTCAAGCACTCGCAAAGTGATTTAACTTTATAAAAAGTACTAAAGTAATTAGAATAAGTAAATAATAAAATAGTTGATCCGTCTGAAGTAAAATAATTAACTAAGTTTCAGGTAAACACGGAGCGGACAAGAGAATTAGTCGAGACGGAATGGGAAAATGGATTTGTTGAAGTATCGGCGAAGGACAACGTAAATATCACTCAAGTGTTTAAAGAGTTGTTGGTCCAGGCGAAGGTCAAGTACAATTTGAGTCCAGCATTGAGACGCAGAAGACGTCAATCCTTACCTCCGCCCCAGCATAATTCCCGCACCAGCACCGCCCATGTGCCCTCGCTACAGCAATTGCAGCACTTGCAGCAGATTCGCGAGCGCTCTGGCGGCAAGAGGAATTCTTGTGTCCTCTCGTAAATTAATAATTAATTAATTAATCATTTATTATATAAAAAAAATCAAATTTAATTCCCAAAAATTAATTACTTGTTATAATTAATAAACTTTAACAATTTATGACCAAATTGAAGAAAAAGCTTGACATTTTTTCTTCTGGAGCTTTTTATAATCCGCAAAATTGTCATAATATTTATGTCGGTGCTACTGAGTGAGGAAATTTTTTTTTTTTTTTTTTTTATTTTTTTTTTTTTAATTAGAATTTTCTTTCCAAAACTTTTTTTTTTGAAAAAAAAAGTTTTTTTGCACTAAAATTTCTGTTTTTTTTTTAATTTTTTTTATTAAAAAATTTTGAAAAAAAAATTTTTTTTTAAAATTTAAATAGAATCTATATTATTATTATTATTATTATTATT